AAGTGATGCTGAAAACACTAAACTGCTCTATCCATTGACTTCCTATCCCCAAGCTACTAAACAAAATAGTTAATAGTTGGGTTCCAGCAAACAGCAATTTAGTAGCTCAGCCTAAGGCTGTTCTTTCAGTTAGAAGTTGCCATGTGAAATACTGGTAAAAATAATTTCTGCTATTTACAGGCAAATTTATAATAGGAAAAGGTCGTAGAATCCTAGAATACCAGGGCAGAAGGGACCTCAAGGATCACCTGGTCCAACCTTTCTTGGGCAAAACACAAGACACTAAGATGTAATGAGTCCAGAGATTTCTAAAAACCCTTGAAAAAAAAATCCTCCCTGTTACAGACGACATGTGGAACAATCACGGGCTTCAGAAAATTCAGAACATTACCCATGAATCGAGTCACACGGAGGTTAACGCTGTCAACAGCACAACAAGACACTGAACCGACATGGGTGGTAGTTTTCAAGAATAACTTTCTACTGTCCGTTTCCTTTGGAGTTCTCTTCTTCTCACCAATTGTTTGGCTCCGCTGCCTCATTAAGCAAACCAAAGACATTTTCTGGGCTTTGCATTGCGAATTTTGGAATACGTCGTTCCGGCTAGACGGGAGGGAAGCCGTTTGTCATTCTTGCTCACCAGCACCCGGAATCCTGTCTCCGTTGTTAACACCAGGTTTCACAGGATGAAGTCATCCCTCCACAGAAATGATGAGCAGCGCCCAAACCTCCAAAAGCTGCGTAAAAATGAGAGGGGGAAGGAAGCCACTTCTCCAAGCAGCTTGTGGCTAACCTCTGTCGTTCCAAAGAAACTATTCTCACTTCCAGTTTGAATTAGTCTGGCTTCAATTTTCAGACGACGGTTCCTGTTGTGCCTCTTTCTGCTAGACTGACGCCCTCTTTACCATCAAATATTTTCTTCCCTTTGGAAACGTTTTCATAGGATACCGAAAGTCATCTTCCAGTCAAGTTTTTTAAGTCTCTCACCACACGGCGTTTTCCTCAAACCTTGAATGATTTCAAAAATCAGTGCTGGATGCAAAGAGAAGTGACGAGCCTACCTCTGTACCAATACCTGCAGCAGTGCCCTAAGAGTCTAAAATCTCATTTGTCCAGATTAAGACTTGAGGTTCTTTCTAGCTTCTGCATTCCAGCACCTACATAACCAGTCTGTAAGCGTGGTGTGGTATTTTCCCCAAAAAT